AGGCTATGGCGTTTGTCTTCTCTGGATTAAATTTAAGTTTGTTTGCATTTCCCCATTTCTCTATTTTATCCAGTATATTTTTGCATTTTATTTCTATTTGTTTTCTGCTTTTTGCTGAACAGATGACCATTATATCGTCAGCAAAAGCTGTTATTTTTGATTCTGATAATGTGTTGATTTTCAAGAGATCATTTAACATAATTGACCAAAAAATGGGTCCAGAACAGGATCCCTGTGGACACCCCATAGTCATGTCCCTTTCCATTTTTATGTCTGCGTATTCTATGTATGCCTTTCTGTTTGTTAGATAATCACATATAAGACTATACAAATTGTTTGGACAATTTGCTTCCTCTAATTTAGCATGGATTAGTGACCACCATGCGTTATCAAAAGCACCTTCTATATCAAGACTGAGAGCAATTGTCCAGTTGTTATTTTTCCTCCCTTCTTCGATATCTTTAATTACTTTTGATATAGCATCTTCCGCTGAACGTCCTTCTTGAAACCCGTATTGATTTTCGTTAAACCATTTGTTTGAATTTAGCCAAGTTGTAAGACGATATACTACTAATTTATCCAAAACTTTTCCCAGAACAGGAAGGAGAGAGATTGGTCTATAACTTCTTACTTCTTTTCGATCTTTGTTTTTACCCTTATAGATTGGTAAGATTTTCGCAATTTTCCATTCAGCTGGGAAAACCGCAAATTTTAAACAAGTGTTATATAATTCGTATAGAAAATCTGGTTCTCTGTTATTTATTTGTTTTACAATTTCTATTGTAATTAGATCATGTCCTGGGGCTTTCCCTTGTTTAAAGTTCGATATTACCCAAGATATCTCTTCCTTTGAGAATAACGGAACATTTTCACCACTTGTTTTGTATTGTAAACTTTCTCTTAACTTTTTTTGCTCTCTGCTGTCTTTATTTTTATCATCTATTTTAACGAATTTCGTAAGTAATAATTTTAAGCTCTCCTCTGCTGTAGCGGTAACAGATCCATTCTCTTGTTTAATTTCTGTTAACTGAAATCTTCTTCTTAATTCCCCAGTTGTGATTTTATAGATCAAACCCCAGGGGTCTCCAGCACTTTTTTCACAGAATTGTATCCAACTCTTTTCTTTACTTTCTTTTATCCTTCTCTTATAATTTTTCTGTTCCTCTAGATATTGTTCTCTAAAAATAGTTCTCAAGTTCTGATCGGTACATTTTTGGTATCTCTTTCTTTTTGCTCTTGCTTTACTTTTTAATGCTTTTAATTCAGGAGTCCACCATTTCACTATTTTTTTCCTATCGTCGTACAGTGGGATATTCCTTTCAATTGCTTTTGTTATTATCTGAATTAACTTCGTAAGTACTGCTTCTGCCTGGTGGCGATTTTCTATATTTCTCAAATCTGTCTTTGCAGATTTTAAGTCTTCCATTATTCTTTCCCAGTTAGCTCTTTTTAAGTTATACTTTTTAATACTATTATTGTGAATCTTCTGATCAATTTCAAATGTAATGTACCTATGTTCAGATAGACTCGTTTCATCACATACTGTCCATTTATCAACTTCATTTATCGCTCTATTATTTATTATTGTTAAGTCTATGTTTGAACTTCCATTTGAGCTTTCAAACGTGCTTGGCATATCTGGTTCGTTAAGGATGAACAGGTTTTGTTTGTTTACAAATTCTTCAATTTCGCCTCCTCTAAGGTCAGAGTTCTCATCAAACCATACATACGAATGTGCATTGCTGTCTCCACCTAATATCATTCCGTGAGTTTGTTGGTATCTGCTACATAATCTGTCTAAAATTTCCAAATGGGTAGTGATATTCACTTTCATTGGGAAATAAAAATTGCTTACTATCCATTTTTTATTAGCATTTAAAAGTTCAATTGTGGTCATGTATTCATTGCAATAACCTGTTAACAACATACATTGAATATTTGGATTATTTAGGACAATAATAGTCCACTATATAATAGCGGGGTTTCCCCATCGCTATTATATAGAACTTGGGTTCTCAAAGGCCAACCCATAGGTTTTCTTTCCCGACAATACGGTTCTTGGACAAGTATTATATCATAGTGTTGGAGTTTATCACCCACTACCTGTGATACAGCACTAATACTTCTGCCTAGATTGATTTGCAAACATTTTATTTTTCCATTTTCTATTTCTGTTCTTTTATTGTTATTTATTAAGTTATCAATTTCCATAATTTATTTTTCCTGTAATATTTTTAATAATCTTTTGTCTTTCATGGCATTCATCGCTTATTGCTTTATGGGTGAAGGTTTTTTGTTTTGATTTAATACAGTTTATACAGTTAGGAATATTATCTTTATTTTTGCATTCGTTAAACCTATGATCTCCAGCACAGTGTGTACAGTAATTACGATCACTGCGACATTCATGGGCTGTATGCCCATATTTACAGCATTTGTAGCAGTATGCTAAAATATTCCTTTAATGTACATCTAACCCATCCCAGATTTACCTTTTTCTGTTTTAATAGTAGTAGTCTTAATTTAGGGGAAACCTCACATATCCAATGTTTAACGTCATCTGCCTTTCCCCATTTATATTTTACTTTGATATCTTTAGTGTAATCTTCTATATCAATGTACTCTGTAGTAATATAATCATTCTGTTTATACATTTTGTCAATTAAGTCTTCTTTTCCTATTTCTTTTGGGACGTTATATATACATATTTTAGGCATTATCTTTTTTGGTTTTCTAGCAACCAAATCTTCTATTTTATCTATTTCTTTTATCAGTCTTTCGCTTTGATTAATATTTTCTACTTCTANTTTCCCTTCAGAAAATACTAAATATATAATTTTTAACGTATTTTAAAAATTAAATTGAATATAAAAGTTAATTTTGACTATAAACTCTATAAAAATTTATAATATGTAAACCTTTGTAGTAGGACGGACGAGGCAAACTCCTTAACGCTTTTCCTACGCGAAAAGGATAGCCGTACGCTCGTTTGTAATTTAATAAAACAAATATCGAATTAAAAGAAATTAATTTTTAATTACGAATGCCGTTGAAAAATCTATAAATCTAGCTTTTTTTTTTTTTTTTTTTTTATAACGAGTGTGGATGGGCAAAAGTCCTTTATTTCCTATGTGAAAAGGATGACTACTGTATGCAGCTAATTATCGGTTGATCATCTATGCGAAAAATCCTCACTTTTTAAAACTTGTTTGAATAATGTCAGCAGAATTTAATACAAAATGGGCGATAGAAAATATTTGCAGACGGGATATGTCATTCAAGGTTGTCTTGTCGATTCTCTAGAGAATTCCACGCCACAAACTCGCTCCTGCCTTGACGTATTTATACTGTACTGTACATCTGTACGCATTCTTTCGTTTAAACATATATATATATATAACACGAGTTTGAATTTAAAAAAAATTATATATATATATATATATATATATATATAGACACTTAAAATACCGTCTTTCCACTTATATAGCGCGTAACTATGGACGGAGGTAAATGACCTTAGCCTTGGAAATGGAAATGAGATGGATGCTGATTTTGGAACTCAAAACTAAAATGGCCATAATTTAAAAACTGACAAAGATATCTTAACCAACATTTCAGAGAAAGTTGCCGATAATGTCCTTAAAGAAACACCCAAAGGAAATTGGGTTCAGATACTCCGGAAACAAGATAACCGCATTCCATGCTATACCGGAAGTAAGCCGTTATTTTAGCCAAAAATGATCTGAGGACCCCAAAATTTTAGTAATTGGTTTGAGCGAGCAGTCCGCATAAGATGACATCAACCGTTCCGGTTGATCGATGTTTTAAACTCCGGTTATCCGAAAAAGGAACGTTTTGCTTCAAAATTTGAAAAATTTTAAACTTTAAAGGTCCTACTTGACAAATTGTTGTTCCCGTTGTCTTCCGAAAGTATAAACCATGGTAATCCACATCTTAAAAGCTTTATTTCCGCACAAATCACTTAAAAATTACAGAGCACATAGTAGCACAACTTATCCCAAATCAATAAACCCAAATTAAACCAAGTGCACTCATGTTAGGTGGACTTGGGGCATGATTCCTTTAATACCCTCCTTTTCAAGAGCCTTAATGGCCTTAAGATCACTACTTTCTTTGAATCGCTAGATGAAATAGCAAAACTAACCAATTGGGAAAGGTTCAGTGTTCAAGTGCAAAACTAAAATTGACAGGTATAGTCAGGGATTTTGTGAGAAAGGACATGAGGATGAAGGAAGTAGAGACATAAGTTCAAGAAACTCAGGATCAAGCAATTCAAAAAAGAACCTTACCCCTATGGCTACAAAAATTCTAAGCCTGTGTTCAAGCATGGGACAAAGTAGTTCAAACTTACATATATATTTTCAATCAGGATAAAAGTAAGGACAATAGATTTGCTAAAGTCTTCTATACTCTCTCCTGACCATATCAATAACAGTTACTATTTTTATAGAATCATTTTCATTTCTAATTATGAAAAAACTGGTCATTTGTTTTTTACCAAAAAATTTTATTGAAAGCATTATTTAACTGATTAACTCTAAGCAATATTATTTGATAGTCAATTTATGGTATTTCAACCAAAATTATTTTAATCTGTTTCAGAAAATTTCATATTAACTGAAAACTTACTTTAATGAATTGTTTTATTACAAATTATACAAATAATGTTTTGGTCTAGAATCAAAAGCTTTGAAGAATATAAACACTAAAATCAGATATCTTAAAGTTAATAACTATGTTCTATAATTCAAAATCAAATCAAATTATTACTAAATAGAAAATATTAACATTTAAATAGTTATATATATATATTTATTTCTTTATTTATATACATATATACATATATAGTAATAAAAAACTGAGAAAATATGTTATCAAAGATCCATGTCAATAAGAAGCAATTACCAATAAAACTTCATTTGATAAAAATGTTACAGATGTTAAATAATTTTAGTAAAATGAAAATCTTTCAAATTTACCAGGTATAATAGATTGAGCTGTAACTCTGTATCCTCTATAATCAATCACAACTGTCCCTAAAGTATATAAACCTTCAATATCAGCTGTGCTGTATGCTCTAACTCCCTGCAAATCATTGCTCTAAAATGAACATTAAATTTACTTTTTAGATTTCTAAAAACAATTAAGAATATAAAAAATTAATTATTAATTTTATGAGAAAAAAAAGGCTTACAGGAGCAGCAAAAGCTGCTGCATCACCACCCAAGTCTTTATAATGATCTCTGACATCAAAGCCTAAACTAAAAAATATGTTGTTCCAAATAAACATCTGCATCCTAAAGAAGAAAAACATTTTATATGTATTTAAAATAAATATCAAATTAATTCCTATGAATTAAATTATGTACTTAGTTTCTTCTCCAGGATTAATTGCCATAACATTTCCATCTATTACAGCCATAGCACCTCTTGTTGCAGCACCAACAAAATCACTATGTACTTTAAATATAGCACGTTCTCTAAGTAATCTTTCGGGTAATGTTTTCCGTGGAAGTTCTCGAGTTGTCTGAAGTTCTTCATTCCAATCTCTTGTTTGACCTGGGATATGTTCTTCATAACCCAACTTAGAAGAAAATGCTAAAATTTTTTAATGTAGATTTAAATATTTAAATTATGACTATTTAAAATAAATAATTTGAATTAAAGCTATATTGTTTTAATTATCATCTAATAAAATTGGAAAAGCAATATTTCTTTTAATTTTTACAGAGCTCTTACTAGTAAATATAAAACTTTTTCAAATCACAAACTATGTTACCAAAGATCCATGTCAATAAGAAGCAATACAGTTGACTTGCCTTAAAGCAAACACCAAAAAGCAAAATCTTGTGTTATGGTGAATTTTGCCATTGTCCTGACAAAATGCTGTTGTCACTATGGGTACGTCCGTAAAGTCAAACAAGTTAAACACATTAGTAACGAATTGTTCGAATAGTAGTAGTCTCGCTCAGTGCATATGCTCTGCGGTGATGACGTTTTGAACGAAACTCTAACGAAGTTCACAAAGGAAAGAGTTAGTTTACTTCGTTAAGAAAATGGCGCCCAACGATATCAATGTTTCTAAATCTACTCGAGTGTTTAAATTGTGAATTAAAAGATGAAATGATTGGAGTAACTGTCCACCCGAAGCAATCTAAGAAAAATATTTTGAATAAGGCTGTACTAGCAACATTTGTATCTTCGATTTTAGAAATAGCCATTTAGTTCTAAACAAATCGTTTGAAAAGTCTAACAAAATAAGAATAACGATGACGTCATTCTCGTTTAACTCATTTGACTTTACGAACGTACCCTATGTTAATTACCATGCAATAAAGCAAACAAAAATTTTACCAAAATTTGTTAACCAAACTGTAAATTACCTCCACAACCCCTAAGAAATTTCCATTAACAATTGCATTTTATACTTTTAGATAAACAATAAAAAGTGGTACCATAATAAATGTTCCATTTTGAGTAGGAGATTTTCTTCTAGTAAGCGAAGATGGGTTAACTTCCAATTGTAGAGCAATTTTAACATCTAATTTTAACAGACCATTCTACTGTACTTAGAAAATAGGGGTTAAAGTTTAAGGATACCCACCCTTGTAAATGGATGAGGTCTCTTGCAAACACGTGCTAATTTGCTTATCAGGGAGTGCATATAGTGATGCAAGGTTTGGCTAATTTGTGCTGAATTTGGCTCTTTTACTCTTTTGGCACTAAAAAAATATTTTTTACTTTTTGAAACAATCTTAAAAGAAAGTCATGATCTTTTTTCTATTGAACATTGTTTTGTTTAACCACTCTGACAGATTGCTTCACACTTCAGAAGCAAATACACTCGTTTTATTTGATTTGAAAATCACTTAAAACATTTAAACTTATTTTTGTATATAAATTTAATTTTATTTAACTATTTAGTAAATTAAAACAATAAACAACAACTTTACCAGAAAACAAACTGTACATGTAGAGTAGAGAATCACACCTAAATGCAAAATTTCCAACAAAGAAATGCTTAACTTCAAAATTCAAACATTTTTGGCCACTATTTTATCAGCCCTCTTCAGGAAATGTAAAACGGAAAAATCTTTCTATAAATAGAATGTAGCTGCCTTCTAATTTTAAAAGTTTCAAATAAGTTCGAATAAAGGCTGTGATGTTTCATATATGACATATATTTTATGAGTCTAAGTAGTATTTCCATGAATGGCATCTGCATTGATGCAGCTCCATTCCTGTCCACCCTATAGCTCTCTACCACTTCTAATATTTTGCCGGTCGAAGACCTTGTGTATTAGTTTAGCTTGGTCCCAACAGGGAGAAATCACCGAATAGCTGGCATAACATGCCAGAGCTGTATTATTTCCTTTTTGTACATCATATTTGTGATCTTTTATCCTGGCTTGTAGTGATCTGTACATGGATCCTATATACAATAGTATTCTGTCAAACCTATCTGTAGTGGGATGTGGTAAATCCCAGGAGCTCTTGCGTCCTCAGTGCCGTCCTTTGCAATAGACAGAAGGCAGAAAACGTTGAGTTTCCTTTTGTACATTACAAGTATGTTTAAATAATTTGCAATCCTCCTGTATATGTGATGAAGGGATGGTTCATAGTTTAGGATCACCCAATTAGCTTCTGTTTTATTAATGTTATTGGTGTTAGATGACAGAGCCAGATGTTTGGATGCTAGATTGTTGATAAATGAGCAACTGTACCCATGGTTGGATGCAACTTGTTTCAGATGCTTTAGTTCCTTGCTGGCATCTGACATCTCTGTAGAATGCAAATAGGCTCTTGCTACCACAGATGCCTTATATGACCATGGGTCAGCTGAATTTGCCGGTATGAATGGGGGACGTAAGTAGGTTTGCGGTAAATTGTGGTGTAAAACTTATTATCTGCTACTTGAATCTTGATGTCTAAGAAATTAACGATATAGTTTTCTTGATCCAATTTTAGTGTTAATCTGTAGTTGTTATTATCAAACACCTATAACACCTCCCCAATATCCGGTCTATTTCTCCATACAATCAAAATGTCATCAATGTATCAGATGTAAATAAGGATACTATATTTGATGTTTATTAAGGACCACTCCTCCAATTGTCATAAGACCAGTTCACAGAGATCCCCTGAAAAGGGGCTATCCATGTGTACTCCCCTTTTTTGGATGTAGGTGTGTTTGTCAAAATAAAAACAGGACAAATAGCACAGTAAGTGAGTAAGCTCTAATATCAGAGTGGTACGATTAGGCATCAAGAGTAGAGCTTAGAAAGAAAAATTAATTCAGAATATTATAATTTATAAATTTTGATCATCTATTAAGATTTAACTCCCTAAATTATACAACCTTGACCTTGAAAATCATCAATATGAATTTTTGATAAAGCAAACAACCTACTGTTCCCCAGCAATTCATATTAATGTGAGTTACTGTGTAAAATTTATCATTACCTATATCTAATTGTATATTATTTTAAATAGAAAATTTTTTTCTAAAAGCAATTTCCTAGTATCTCTTCAGATTCTATTAACTGGAGACATAGCAAATATAGATATTTCTTGATTAGAAAAACAAATTATTGAAAAATATAGAGAGCACATCAAAGTGTAAAACTGCAATACAGTATTAAAAATATCATTGACCTTAGTTATTGTGTTAAAAATTCTATTTTTGAAATTATAGTAGAATAACTCAATATGAATTTAATTATTAGCATATATCTGAAATAAATTTTATATCAAATCTGCATATGTATCATCAGATGTTCATTAGAAACTGCAGAATAAAAGGGAATAAACTGCTTTGTATTCCATATGTTATTAATCTGTATTACATTAAAGCCTTTCTCTAAAACTAGATTATACAATTAAAACACGGTACTATATAACTGGATTGCTGTATATTAGATCTCTATGTAATACAGTAGGTTCCACTTATTATAATCATATATATTGTTTTCAGTTGTTTAATGTTATCAAAATTAAAATGTTCCTACCATAATCTAAAATGTAAACCTTTACTCAGTGTAATCAGAGTTTAGCTATCATTATCTTAAGGTAAATAAGCATTCTTAAGTTTTCTTTTCATGCTATCAGTTACACGTTGAGATTGATAATATGCACTCACCACCAGGTAATGTCATCAGTTTTAACTAATGCTCTTTGTTAAATATTGATTTTAGATATCTGTTATGGTTTTTCCATTGAATTTGTTAATCAAGTTAATAAATTGTGGACACTCTTTATTGAAAATATATAGAAACAAGCAAACCTTCAGATCCAATAAAATAGAACAAAATTATATAAAAAAGCAATTGTGTACTCTTTCAAAATCTAAAAAAAAAATAAGTTTTGAAAAATATTGATTTAAATTATATTATTTAAACATTAGTTTTAATTGTATAAACAAAATTTTTATATTGTATAAAAAAGTTCTAATATCACATATATAAGTTTAAAATTTAAAATTTTCTACTAAGCACATTTATCAAACAAAATCTATTTATAGTTACCATCTTCTGCACGAATGGAATCTATACTATGATCAAAATTTGGAGTACACCAAGTATAAACTTGATATGGAGTTGCAACTCTTTCAAATGGATGTCTTTGCGTACGCTTCTTTTGTATAATGGTAAAATTACGCTTAAATGTAGGACTTATCTAGGAAAAAAATAATTATAATTTTTTAATAATAATTTTATAAAACTTAGTACAAGTATGCATATACAGTGGACCCTCTATATTAGTCATTAATCTGTTCCTAAGGATCTAACAAATATTGAAAATGACAAATATAGAAACAATTTTTCTCATAATAAATAACTGATATTCAATTAATCCATTCCCATCTTAAAAAAAAATACAAGAATATAAATTTTGTTGTTTGTAAAACTTTACTGTATTTATTTAGTACAATAAAGATATACTGGTAGAAGGGGAAGAAGAGTAAGGTTATTATTATTTAGAAGACATACCATCAATTAAAACAGGTAATTCCAATTATGATCTCAATATATTAAATTCTTTGGCTAAGTTGGAAACACTAGAGACGTTGCGGCCAAAGTTTTCATCTCTAAAACGTGAACTTCAAACACCATCTTGTAAGCCTAGAAGTTTGATAATGGCATTTGGAACATCATTGGAATAATGCTTGGCATTCCAAATGCCATTATCAAACTTATAGGCTTACAAGATGGCGTTTGATGTTCACATTTTAGAGATGAAAACTTCAGCTGCAACCTCTCTACTTTGTCCATTTTCAGACTTAGAATTCATTTTTTTTTTTTATCTCTATTGTTGTTCTAACAGCTTTCCTTTTTTGCTGTTTCTCTTCAGTGTGCTTTGTTGGAGCCATTAAAACTTGAGTTTTTGAAAATAATTAATGCAAGAAACCAAGAATACACACGACTTCCCCACAAAGAAGACTAACTACAGCTAGCTAATATAATGTTGCCAACTCAAAATTCAAGGATAGCTAGACATTTTAATAAAAATATTCGAATCATATTGTTTCCATTAAAATTGTTTGATTTTTTTGTAGCTATATAGCATTATAAAAATATCTAGGCCATTATAATTTAGGTAATTTGCATAGCTAGATTGTTCATAAATCCACTAAATCTAACAAAAAATTAGCTAAATTGGCAACACTAAGCTAACATGGCTAGCTGATCGGCATGGGCATGCGATTGTGGCGCCACTGCCAGTGTTGGAAATGACAACAAATACAGAAAATACTGACGAATATGGGAGGGAAAGTCATCAAAATGTGATGAATGTAGAATATTACAAATATAGAGGTTCCACTGTAATTTATTCTCTTTTGTACACACTTTTCTAAATCATTTAAAAGAAATAATTTACAAGGTATGTATACAGCATCTCTTTCTAAATGAACTTCTAAAATGCATGTACATAGATAAAATTCATTTTTTAAAAATCATTATTTTATAAAATACTTTAAATTTGTCCTTTAATGATTTATTCATATCCTTTCCAAACTGAGTTTTTTGCATGTAATATAATATAAATTATTACAGTAGAGCATCGATTATCCGACTCCCGATTAACCGTCACATCGATTAACTGACTCTTCTAGTCGGCAAATTTCAAATGTCTGCTAGTGATGTGGCACTACAATATTTGGCTATGTCTTGGCTACCTTAATATTATTTTTGTTAAATTTTTGCATGTTTTAGCTGGCAATACTGGCTCGACCATTGAAGGGAGGCCAGTATTTAAACAAGACTTAATTTTCTAATTATGAGTGGTTGTTTGTTTTGTGAGCAATAAAATAATTTTAAAATAATTTTTAACGATACAATAGCGACAATTATTATTTTTTTAAAGAATTTGTTAGGCTTAACATTGATGAAAATTCAATGCAAAGTTGGTTAATAGCGATGTACTAATTACATGAGATATAATAATATACTATACTAATAATGGATTTTTTTCATTCTTTTCGGTTATCCGATTTTTCAGTTATCTGACCAACCTGAGTCCCCAATTGAGTCAGATAATCGATGCTCTACTGTATATTAGGGCAAGCATATCACTAAAAACTATTTGAACTGTATCTTAAATGTTTTAAATAAAATTCTGTAAACATTACTTTTTCATTGTAAGAATAATTTACAGATTAGACAAGACAAAAACATACACTGTACAGAAAAAAATATGGATTTTGAAGAAAGTAAAGAAACAATAATAAGAGGTGAAAAAGCTTTGGTACCATAATGAACATGAATTAGAGAAAGAAGACAAGTTTAAACAACATAAAAACAACTGCAAAGAAAAGAATTTTTAAAGTTACTTTTCAATTCTTAAATTATAATAATTATAACATCTGACATGTTAGTTTTGTATTAAACAGTCTTATCAACAAAAAAAAAAAGTTATTTCAAACAAGGAGTTTTGTGAACACTAATTTCAAAAGATTAAAAACTAAAAAAAAATGCTTTTAAAAATTACTTATTCAAAATCCAAATCATTCATTCTATTCCAGGTTATGCTTTAAAGGGTTGAAACTAAAATTCTATAAAGAATAAATACTAATTCATACAAGAAAGATTGTAAAAACAGTGTAATCACAAAATACACTTAAAAATATTTACAGAAAACCCAGCAACAAGTTGCATAATTTTCCTCGGAATAAAGTTAAAACTGTGTGTAGTACCATCTGTTATAAAAATATTTTCAATAAAATCTCATGCTAATTATTAAAAAATGGCAAAAAAGCTTAATTTTGAGGTAGAGATGAGTTTTAAGAAAGAAAAAAAAAACAAAAGTAAATGCTAACTAACAAGTAAAATCTTCATTAAGTCTGACTATGCTCAAGACATGGCAAATGACCGCCCCCCCTACCTCCCCACTCCTTGGACCTTTAATAACAAGATTTAATAATTAATGCTCCTAATACACAAATCTTCCTGCAAAATTTCAGAAATTTTTGACAAAAATTGCAGGAGTTATTAAGCTTCAAAGTAGGTAAACAAAATTCCCCTCATATGCACACAAACATCCATAAGGGAAAAACCCTCCAACTTTTTTATATCTCTCAACATTTCAAGGTCCCGAGTCTAAAAATGTAAAAATCTTGAAATGTTTTTTTTACTAATCATCATACTTTTCCACTGCTAAATATAACAGCTGGGAAAGTAAAATGAGGTAAAATTCAAAAACAATCATCATTAGTTTAATTTGCTTTCATCAATAAGTATTGTTGTTTGGATTGACCTATCATTTAATTATTAAATGTAAATTATATTAATATTTGCTTCAAATTAATTGTCAATGAATATAAAACTCTGTTCAAAGAGATCAACAAAAAGCAAGCCTTTCTACTTTCAATCTATGGTATTCATTATTCTTAAAAAATGATTATTCCATTTTAAGTTTCAATGTGAAATAATTTCAGTAAAAATGTTACAAATTAGATGAAAAAAAGAATTTACAATATAATGATTGCATTAATATTGGGTCCTAATATTTGTAACAATATAAAAAAACATTCTACAGTTCATTTTCTAAAATAACAAAATTTTATGTTTTTTAAGAAAAAATATTTTGGATTAGAAACTATCAAAAAGTGATTGTTAAAAAATTCTTTAAAAGTTTCAATTTATAAATATATAAATTTTGTTAAAAGATATATTTTAAAATTAAATTTTATTCACTAAAAAACATATCTTTCATGTGTGTATTATTTTTGTATGTAAAAATTTCTTGGACAAGAGAAATTTCTTCTGAAGTCAATAAAGGATTGATTAATTGACTGAAACATCAATGACAAGTCAGCAAAGAATTAATGATTTTTCCAAAATAAATGAATTATTAAGCTTTAACTATTCATCTTGGCATTCTTATTTAAAAAACATTTTTATTTGATCCATTTTTCTTACCTGTCCTAATAATTCAATTAATGAATGGTATACAATTTTTGGAGTATCTGGTTTAGGATTAAATTCCTCTTCAGTTGATCTAATAAATTGAAAATATACAAGTTAATTAACCAACATGGTAAAATAATTGTTTAAAAATAAAATCTTAATCTAACATCTTACTCAATACAAAAAATACAAGCAAATAATTAAACAATCAATGCTCTTAATAAATTTTGGTGACCTTGTGTTTTCATCTGAAATTAACAATTTATTTTTGGATTTTGTTTTTCAGGTAAGTTTTTCTTCCTATACTATTAACAACATATACAGATCACCAGAATCATCAAATAATCGTTGCTTGTTCTGTATTTATATACACTGAATCTTTACCTAATATCTATTACTTCATTTCCTTTGATATCAGCTTTCACAAGCTATGTCCAGAGTTCTATCTTATTGTAATCTTTTGAATTGTTGCAAATATTTTTCCAGAACTCTACAATTTTATCTTTATTTGATTCTCCTAAGTTCCTACTTACTTTTCCAATTATGTTTTCATAAAAATATCTTTGACTTGTCATGAAAAGTTAATTCTACTTAACAGTACAATCCTTGCTTCATATCGAGTAATCTTACCTGAAGCTATTCCAATTTGCTGTGACTATCTCCAAGGCTTTCATTTTCCTGTTACCCAGATTGTATCTTTTTATTATGTCCATTTTAATTTTTTCCTTTCCCCCATTTATCAACTTTTTATCTTTGATGTCTTTTGTTCAGCTTGCTAGTATCTGACCCTAATTTTCTGATTTTCCTTTGTCTAATTTTCCATTTTGGTGGATCATTATGTTATTTTTTTTTAAATTTATTTATTTCATATCCCAATTCTATAGTTATCACTGCTGCAGCACTGCATATGAGCTAATTTGTTTTATACAAAAATTGAAATTTGCTTGAAATGATGGATTTGTTACATAAAACAGATTTGTTAAATGAGGTTATTGAAAAAATTGTCCTAAGTCATCAAGAGCCTCTGTCAGATTCTTTTTCACTACAAGTTTCTAGGGATCGATCTTTTCCAATATTGTATGTTCAAGGATTTTCTTTTTCAGTTCTTTGTCTCTGTTAGTTGACAATCTTCAAATTAAGCTATTAGTAATGAAGCTATAGTTGGTACCACCTCTTCTTATTCTGACTGTGCTTCTATATTTTGTTATTCATTTACATCTGTTTTTTTTCAATTTCTTCTGCTTGATTATTTGTCATCATTTGTTTCAAATTTACTTGAGTATATCTTTCCAATTCTTATCAATAAACTTGTATTTCATATATTCTGTAAACATGTTATTTCTTTCTATGTCTTCACTGATCTGCAAGCCATTGTTCTGGGATACCTAAATCTGGGCAAGTTTTCTTCCAAATTTGGTACATTTGTTTCAAACTATAATTTCCAAATTCTCAGCAATTGTATATTATTGTCATTTTCTTGGTCCTTCCAGTAGTTTTGTAGCCTTCAACCCTGTTTGATCAGTTAAAGATCCTGTCCTATAGTCCATTTTTTGCCAAATGCCCAGATACTCTAACACAATAGTCTATTGTCCTGGGTGATAACCAATCTGATATAGGATTTATTTTACATGTTTGCATCATAGGTATTGGGTTTTGAACACATTTGGTCTGATCCATCATTAAAAGTGTGTTTAGCATGAGTAGTCCTCCAGCTTAACCCTCTAAATCCTTTTAGTACAGAACCCCACCATCCCAATAAGGTATTGTCATTCATGGATTATTATTATTATTATTATTATTATTATTATTACAGTAGAACCTTGATTATCCGACCCCCGATCAACCGACCCCTCGGTTAACCGACCGTCCTAGTCGGCAAATTTCAAATGTCCGCTAGTGATGTGGTGCTACAATATTTGGCTATCTTGGCTACTTTAATATTATTTTTACGTGTTTTAGCTGGCAACACTGGATCGACCATGAAAGGGAGCCAGTATTTAAACGAAGCTTAATTTTCTAATTTTTAACGATACGATAGCGACGATTATTATTTTAAAAAATTTTTGTTAGGCTTAACATCGATGAAAATTCAATGCAAAATAGGTTAATAGCGATATACTAATATACTAATTACATGGGATATAATAATATACTACACTAATAATGGATTTTTTCATACTTTTCGGTTATCCGACTTTTCAATTATCCGATCAACCCCAGTCCCCAATTAGGGCGGATAATCGAGGTTCTACTGTATTACTATTATTAAAAGTAAGAAACTTAATATCATATGATATTAAAGTTAAAATTTCAACAAATCAAACTACAATATTAAAGTAAAAAGATTCATAAATAATAAAATTTTAAAATAGTTCATGGAAGTTTTTACTCACTGATTTACATAAAATCCTCTAGTAGATGCAGTTATATGAAAACGTTTATCTTCTAAAGTAACTACATACAGATACATTAAGTCACCTATTAAAATACAACCAGAAAATTTTCAGAATTCATTTGAAATTCTTTACATTTGATTTAAATGATTATGATTAAAAAGAAGATTCTTAGTACTAGTTTTCCTATTATGTTTATGAATACAGGTAACCCTTGTATAACATGGGAGTTACGTTCCAAAAAATTGCCATGTTATGCAAATCCATGTTATATGAAACAAAGAACTAGTGTGAAAAGAGTGGTTAGGTTCCTAAAATTAAAAAATATGCTGTTAAATCCTTCTTTAAAATCAGATTTATTATTCATTTTTTTCATAGGTAAAATACTTATTTATTATTTAAGTAAATATTTTACCAGAGGATTATTCATCCTATATGATGATCTCAGCATGAGCATCATCAACTGATAACAGTTTTTGGGTGCGTTCGTTAATAGCGGTCGGTCTGCAACAGGAGTTCACAGCTGTTTGTAGGCATTTAGGAACGACAGTGAAAGAAAGATGACAGTGCCCGCACTATTGATAGTATAGTGATGGAGGAATCTATAATTCTAAAATGAGCTTTTAGAAGCAAAAGGGTCAAAAATCACCCAAAAAAAGTTCTCTTTTTCTTCATTCAGCACTGCAGATGCTCCCAGAGAAAAAAATTCTCTAGAAAGCTCAAATTATAAACTTAAGACACTATCTTTATTAATAGCGAGGTCGAGGCCGAAGATTTAAATGCAAAAATGTGTACGTCAAACGTTCAGCACCGCTTTCCTGTAAGCCTAGAATGGTTTTGGATAGTCAGTGGAATCATGCTTGACATTCCAAACACCATTGTCAAACTTCTAGGCTTACAGGAAAGTGGCGCTGAATGCCCGACTTACACGTTTTCGCATTTAAAACTTCGGCCTCGACCTCGCTATTAATAAAGATAGTGTCTTAAGTTTATAATTTGAGCTTTCTAGAGAATTTTTTCTCTGGGAGCATCTGCAGTGCTGGATAAAGAAAAAGAAGAAAACTTTTTTGGGTGATTTTTGCACTTTTCAATTGCTTATATTTCAACAGCACCTTTATAGAAAGACTAGCTGTTACCCGCAACTTCGTCTGCGGAGGTTTTGCAAGCAAACCCCATTTACATTCAATATTTCAATAACCATAGTAATTGTCATATAACACCTACCGCTGAAGAGAATTTGCCGAGAATCAAACAAACTATCTTCAATTTGATCAATTTTCTGGAATGTTTACAATCGTTCTATAATTGAACCAATATGCAATAACAAATTTGAATTTAAAACGGATCGAACATTTTTAATTATAATCGAAATAGATAAGAATATTTATAATAATGTCTGAAATGTTATCAATTTAATACACCTAAATACTCAATGAAGACTAAACGTAGTTGAAAACAAAAAATCGTATCTAAAATAGTACAGTAGAAGCCGTTTTCCAGTTAAGCCTTAATGCTCTACCTCTCCCCCCCGCGGGGAAATTTTGAAAAATCCTTTCTTAATGTGAATTCCCATGACATTCCCTACTAAAATGCATATAAAATGAAAAAAAAAAATCGCATCTAAAATAGTACAGTAGAAGACGTTTTTCCGGTTAAGTCTTAATGCTCTACCTCACCCCCCGCAGGGGTATTTCTAAAAATCCATTCTTAGTGTGCATTGCCATGGCATACCCTACTAAAATGCAGATAAAAACAAAAAAAATCACATCTAAAATAGTATGTTTTTCCAGTTAACCCTTAATGCTCTCCCTCTCCCCTCCACTTGGGAATTTCAAAAAATCCCTTCTTAGTGTGTGTTTTCATGACGTACCCTAACTGTTTACCAAATTTCACCTCTCTAGGTCCAGCGGTTTGCTCTGGGAGATGATGAATCAGTCAGTGAGTCAGTCAGGACAAGCAATTTTATATATATAGATCTGAAATTTTGCACAGTACCTAAGAAAAGAAATTACCTTTTGAATGAGATATTCAAAATTACTACAGGACTCAGGGGCAGAGAAATCAACCCCCAACAATTGGCAACTCTGATTCCTGTGTATATATATATATAGTCAGTGACTTTTTCACTTGGTACCAAGTCATTGCTGACTCTTGATTCAGGCTTAGTTTCCAATATGATTACATCCTTATGTAAATTTTTCTTATTGTATCCTTACATAAACTTGTAAAATCATCATAAAATTTGATCAAAATTTACATTATAATACTAATCCTGTTTCCTTAGACTTCTATTAAAAACTTATCACTGATGATAATTTATGCATTTAGAACAGAGATTATTAAAAACGAACAAGTACATTACAATTAAGGCAGATTCTAATCAGGATATGATCATCAGCAATTAACATTATATAAGAAAACAAATATGCTGACAGAATAATAATATTTATAACGCATAATTTTTCTTTTTTCAGAATAAATATTTACTGAGAAATGAACTGCAGTATGTTATTTTCTTGACAACTTTCAAAATCTCTTTTTATCGTTATTAAATAAATATAAAAATATAACAAATATACCTATTTTAAATATAATAATTGTATCTTACCATGTAATTTTCTAATTCCAGGTGGTGGATTCCAGCCACTACTTGTTAACACTTTCAGTGCTTGAGGACCCTATTTAAAATAATTTTAATGATTGTCAATTATTGAAATAATGTTGCTTTTGTAGTTGCTTATTTTATATAATACTAGCAGACCCCATCATGTGTTGTTGTGGCTCAAAGTGTATCTATTATAAATGTATAACACTTCCCCCATGGAGGGGGGAATTTTTCGAAAAATTCCTTCTTAGTGTACATTCTCGACGTACCCAATTAAAACAAATAAAAAAAAAAAAACAAAAAACTGCATCTAAAATAGTATAATAGAAGCCAAGTTCTTCACGGTAAGCCTTAATCCTGTCCCAATGGGGGGAATTTCGACGTGTATATTATATAAGAACACATGCATATTCAAATGCAGCATTGTGTCAAAATTTCAAAGGAATCGGTAGGAACAAACGAACATTACATTTTTATTTATATAGATAGATAGAAGATGATCTGCTTTAGTTCATCCTCACAGAAAAGCATAATGCCTCACATAAAAGCAAACTTAGGTCATCGTACTCGTAACATCATCTGTTGGACATAAACGCCTTAACCCTAGATGATATCTTTTAATTTATATGAATGTTTAATAGATAATATACAGCCTATGTCCACCCTGAAGTTCCATTCTAAATATTGGTGAAAGAATTTTTGAAATCGGATGAATAGTTTTGGAGATTATCCTTACATCCAAACTTACAAACATTATCTCTCTATAATATTAGTATAGATGAATTTGAACAATAATAAATTTCAATATATGAAAAAACTTTACAAACAGTAAAACATGTTTATAAAGTTTATAGAAAGCAGTTTTCATTTTGATACATTCATTTTGTGAGACTGAAGTAACAATGTATACATGTACATAAATTTATATTGTTTACAACATAAATCTATCTGCATAATATAACGTGACATAGATCATGTATAACTTAATTATGAATGTAATGTACATACATTGAATTAAGTGGATAATATTTATATATAAAATTTTTAAAAGTTAAGTAACGCTTTCTTTAATTTTTTACCTTCCATTCTTTTACTTGAGGTTGAAGAGGTAACAAAGGGCGTTCTTTAGAACCAGGTAAAATAAAATCAGGTGGAGTACAATCAACAGAATCTGGTCTTGTTTTTTTCACTTCTATCAATATATAAAAGACAAAAAAATTACTACTACTAAGATATATACTTTAATCTCAAAATGTAATAAACCATCAAACAATTACCTAAAATATCTCCTTGAGTAATAGCATTAAGAAAACAAAGTGAATTACATTCAACACCATTATATGCATCAGCAGGATCAAGTGATTTTAAAAGATCCCTAACATGACGTACATGAATCCTTGCTTCTCTAACTGTATATGGTTCTATTAAAATGAAAAATCAATTACTTCATAATACAAGAGACTTCAATGACACAGCAAACTGCTGCACAAAAATATATGATGTTTCAATCAAAATATATGCAAAATCTTTAATATCATCCTAAAGGTACACATTTGTCACAAACAGTTAACAAAATTTAAACAACTTATGAATTCTAAGTAAATGCTTATTAATATAACCCAGCAATCATTTGGCATTAATCTCAAAGATCAGGTTATTCTATGTTTATAAATGCTCATTATTCCTTTTAAATTCACCAAAAATACCATTACCTTATCTTATACTGTATCAAAGAAATTTAAATATAATTAATATTTAAATTTTCAAAAATCATATTAATGTAAGCTTGAGGTTACTGTACACTTAAATAATCATAGCACTTCTCATGCAAAATGACCATGATAATTTAAAATTTTAACTCCATTTATTTATTTAAAAGATTCCATTTTTTTTCTGAAAATATAAAAAGGTCTTATATAATAACAGGTGTCCAGAAAAAAAAAATCTGCACAAGTTTGTGTAATGTATTTTTTACCTTGAAAAAAAAGAAAATTCTATGAACTATGAACTAAATGATGAAAAGCTATATATTCTCTTTTACTTTTGTAACTCTACAAGTCCCATTATTTAATGCAGTAGATTTGACTTTGGATGTGCTGCACATATTTCTGTATAAGACTTTTGCTCACAACTTTCAGATAGTACTTTATCTCACTTATCAGCCAATCTGTGGTTTTTGCTTTGAACTCTTTGTAAACGGCTGTCTTGAGAACTGACCAAAAACCTTGACTTGCCTAATTTCTGGCATGTTTGCAGTATTATTCTCCTTTTCAACAAAAGTAATGTGTTTCTTGTTGCAGGTAATCCAGTAGGTTTTGGTACAGTAGGAACTTGCCTAATATGACCAAAAGATATTCTGCTTGAGAAGAGTTCTTTTGAATGTAAGGAATTAAGTGATGTATATTTTATTTAAATATTGCAGGGCACAGATAGCAAAACTGATTTTCTGATTAGGGCTTAATGCAATCTTTTTTGGTACCATTGTAATCCAAACCAAAACTTCACCCTCAAACTTTTTTGTTTTTACAAATAAATTCACTATCTATCACACCGGAACTACTACAAAAAATCGACACACCTGAACCAATTACGGTGTGATCATGCAAAAGATCGGAAAACAAACGTTTTCGAACCCCTTCTGGGTTCTGCTTCAGGTTCTAATCAGCTTCTAAAGACGTTCGATGTCCGTTATAAGTAGAAATTTGATCGTTCATATCGTTTAAAGCTTGAAAGAATCCATTTGAACCTACAACTTAAATTTCAAGCTTTAAACGACATGAACGATCGAATTTCTACTTATAACGGACATCGAACGTCTTTAGAAGCTGATTAGAACCTGAAGCAGAACCCAGAAGGGGTTTGAAAACGTTTGTTTTCCAATCTTTTGCATGATCACACCGTAATTGGTTCAGGTGTGTCGATTTTTTGTTTTTTTTTGGAGTTGAAGTAAGGTATGGAGTTTTTGCTTTAATTGTACTGCTTTTGTTAGATTAAGAACATCTAACTCAATACCCTAAGAACAAGCAAAAAAGTACCACTCATTTGAAAAACAAACTTGTAGAAGTCCAGCAACAGAGGTGTACTTCCTGGATATAGACATCCAGTTTATTAATGGATGCATAGTAACAAAGGTTACAGAAAACCAACTTATCCCCCTATTCATAATGTCATTCTTATACAATCCCTTTTCATACAGGATGGTTGTCTTTAACAATAGTCCATAGAGAATTCACTCAAATCTCTGAACCAATGGAGACAATGCAGAAATTTCATACTATTACTAGCCAGGCTGTCCAGCATGGATTCTCTAGGAAGATCATTAAAGAACTCATTGAACATCACAGTGTACAGTACATGGACACAGCAGTACCCATAACCCTTCATTCTGAAACATACAAGTTGGTCATGTAAAATGCAATACTTGTCTCTATACAAGGAGAGATCCTGAAACAATAACATCAACCTGGCCTTCAAAAGGAACCCCAATGTCTTCACTCCTCAGAAATGCCAAGGATCCCCTAATCTGGCAACACATGCCAGAGGTATACTCCATTCCTCTCATGAACTAAAGGTCCAGCAAAGAGGTGGAGCAAATGGGAGCAGACAAATCACTTTACCCTGCTTAAAGGAACACAATTTGAACATATCTAAGGGCTTCTACTCCACAGCCTTATATGCCCCACTGTTGAAGTCCATTTGGATAAGACCAGGATTTGCCATTGAACATCTAACATAGCACAACTCCATTAACAGATGGATATATATAAGGCTATTTTTGTTAAAATAGCCTTATATATATCCATCTGTAACAAAAAAAAAAAATCCATCAACTTTAAAGAGGATGACACTTTCTCGAACTTTGTACGGAAATAACATAAGCAGTTTATGTTATTCCCTTACAAAATTCATTAACTGAGTTGAAGCTGTTATATATTGGAGCAACTGCAAGAATGCTCTGCCTCAGTCTTGCAAAGCATCATGAAAATGTTGCACCTAACAGATATATAATAGAGCTAACCAAACAAGTAATAGAGGGTAAATTCAATCAACATTTGTCACAAACTTCACTCCTATGATGTGGGGACCAAAGAACATTATCCAGGAGCCTCTTTTCATTGCATCAATGGCACATGCAACTCTCCCATGCTTGACATACTAGAATAGTGGACAGTACTATTTAAGCTTCTAAAAAGTCATAAATTGCATATTTTGCAATAAAAAACATATTCTTCATTAATGGTGTTGCTGTGTATTAATTTACTTTTATATTTTTAGTCTAGTAATTTTTATTAGTTTTATTTCACTGGTAGCTAAAAATTTTGTAATTTTATATATTTCAATTACATTCCATGCTTGTGCACAAGGAACAATTTGTAAATTGTTCTTTACTGTTTTTATTCCATTTTTCAAATAGTTGCATTCTGTTTTTGTGAATGACAATACAGGTAGCCCCCGTATAACACAGTAGTTACATTCCAAAAAATTGCCGTGTTATGCGAATCCGTGTTACGAAAACAAAGAACCAGTATGAAAAGGAGGGTTAGGTTCCAAAAATTAAAAAACATGCTATTATATTTTCATAATTAATATAAGAAAATTTTAATAAAGATATTTAAGTGATACATATTAATATAAATTAAATAATGTTTTCTTTGTCATCACTAAAAGCACTATTAACCGAGGATAACTTGCCAAAAAGAAAACAGCAAGTCATCCTTATCTTCTGAGCATTTTTCTGCATTATCTTCAGATCCATGCTTTACCTTTTGCAAAAAGTATATAATTTTAGATTGCTTGCTTCTAGTTAAAAGATCTTTATAAATTTCCTCATATGGTGCTAAGCACTTATGAAGAATAAAGCAAGTATGAAATAAGGGAAAAACATCTGGCAACATCAGAAGCGTCAAGATCTGGCAACACTAAAACAAGTTTCGAGAAGGACCATGTGTATCGACAGAAGGCGAGAAAAGAAAATTTACATACTTAAGTACTAATAGTTCACGAAAATTATTATTTTCGTGAACTATTAGTACTTAAGTATGTAAAAATTTATTACATTTCATGTTGTACGAGGGTTTTACCCAATTCTCGAACCATGTCAGAGTGAATCCGTGCTATAACAGTACCGTGTTATATGGGGGTGGTACCAATTCTCGAACCGTGTTAGAGTGAATCCATGCTATAGAAGTGCCGTGTTATACGGGGGTTACCTGTACTGCCTGAAAACGAAAGTTATATACTGTCAAAAGTACTTGCATAAACCTTTTTTGTAATGCCGATAAACAGTTGTGTTATTTTGATAGATGCCAAGTAATTTTGTAACATTACTTGGCATCTAGTGGTTTTACATTTTATAACTTGGCTTTTCTAACTTGGTTTTCACTTGAATTTTTGCTTTTCTACATTACCCTTTTCTTCTCTGTGATGGTAATCCAATCTCAAAAGAATTGGAAAATGCAATATGTAGTCTGTTTGAAATTCCTTCATTTGTACAATGGTTTACTGTAAACTTTTTTCCTGACATTTTATTCATGTATAAATGTTGTACTCTGTTAGGGATAAAGCATAATCTTTTGCTGCCATTTTGAAAGAAGCAGAAAATCAAATGCAGTAAAAAATTCTAGAATAATCCACAGCATTCCAAACATTTTCAAATTACAGCACATTCACCATAAAAATTATTTGCTGTTAAACTAGAACATAAGATATTTTGTGCAAGTTTTTTTCTGCCACCCATTAAAATAAATTATTAATATATATGTACTATATTACATTCTATAATATGATCAACTTTCACCTGTTTAAAGGAACTACTTAGAAATATTCTTAAGCAATAAAGTTTTATAAAATTTAATTTTTATAATTATAAACATTCATATAAACTACAATCAGCAAACATCACAAAATCTGATAAATTAGTAAAGTCAAACAACCACTGGATTACATCTAATTTTAATTAATTACTAATTTGTCCCTCTAGTGACAAATTATTTAGTAATTAAATATAATTGCAAAAAAGTAGCATGATGTAATCCAGTGGTTGTTCAACTTTACAATCAACATTTAATATTAAAATACAGTGGAACCTCGGTATACGTCTGCTTTAGAATACGTCCAATTCGGAATACGTCTTGTTTGGACGAAACAAATTTTGCTCGGTATACGACTTTTGTTCAGTATACAACTTAATTCAATTATACGCGCCATCTATGAACAAGTAGAACTATCGGTGTACTACACTAGACTATACGTTCGCGGTGCTACAGTTTATAACTTTGTTAAGTTTCTTCTGATTTTAATTTGTAAGTAACGTTTTATTATTTTTATTAATCATGAATTGCAAATAAAAAAAATGACTAGAATCACAACGGAACTGAAAAAAGAGATTGTTGAGAAATATGAAGGTGGCATGCATGTTCGAGATTTAACGAGATTTAACTGTTGCATTCCGTATTCCGAGAATGACGATATCGACAATCGTGAAAAATAGACATTATTAAATTTGCTAACGTTGCGAAAGGGGTTAAATCAATTACTAAACAGAGATCGAAAACACTAGATCATGTCGAGAAATTGCTTTTGCTTTGGATAACTGAAAAACATGTGCTGGCAACAGCATATCGGAAGCAATTATTTGCGAGAAAGCTAAAAAGATACATGCTGATCTCATGAAAAATCAAGCAGAAACTAGCGAGGGGTTTAAAGCCAGCCATTTTTTTTACATGAGAACGGATTAATCATTTTTACATTACTTCTTATGGAAAAGGTTGGTTTGGTATACGTCCTATTCGGTATAAGTCCAAACACCAGGAACGGATTAAGGTCGTATACCGAGGTTTCACTGTACTTCTAAGAAAATTTGTTTTATTAGAAATGTAAAATAGTAATAATAATTATATCTTACAAATTTATTTTCAAAATATTTATTTAACACAAACACACATACATACATACCTTCAACTACTTTGATCATAGAACCTTCTTTTAAACCTTCAATACTTTTCAGTTCTGCAAAGTTATCTAATGTCATTCCATCAAGTTGAAGAGAAAAACATGTTCGATGACATGTATCTTCTCGATCCATTAACAATTGATGAATTTCTTGTACTAACTCCATGGAACTAACCTGTAATAAGAAATTTTCATATTAAATTTTGACTTCAATATAAATATTGTCATAATGTATATAAGTAGATTTTTCCAAAAATATCAAATTCTGGCTAGTTTTTCCAACATATATGTTGGAGTACACATTTACTAATAAAGGCAAATTAGATTCATATATTTTGGTATCAAAGAACAAATGATACATAATGGTCTAATATTGGATCTTATAATGACAGCCTAAGTAAGTTCCTTCAGAATTCTAAATAATTTGGGTGGATACGATAATTTTCGGCTCTATCAGATGCATAATAATTAATTACTTGAGATTTGTAAGTAAAAAATAATTTGTCAAATACAGTCGACCCCCCACCTATAATGCGGTAGATACATTCCACTTTATAAGAATTTTGCATTGTAGGAATCCTTAAATACATAAGCCAATCACAGCCCAGCACGTGTGCAGTTTACGGACTATGGCTGTTTGAAAGGTTTTCTTCCATAAAATTAATTGATTCTAGACTAATTCGACTCAACATTTCCAAAACATGTATAATTTTTTGGGAATAATCCGTATAAACTATGCTATAAACAAAAAATTGTAGTATTACTTTCCGAGTGTGCACTGTTCGACAATGCCATTGCTTAAGCTTGTTTTCGTTGCGGAGCAGCACACCAAACGGTGGGCGCGTTTTCTAATAAGTTATTTTTCTGCGAAAAATTCATTGAACTTTGGAGACATCATTAATTAATAGAAATAATTTTTATGGCCGTTGAATAAGAAATGTTTTTTTTCACAAAAAATGTATAAAATTACAGTACTGTATTAGACTTACAGTACCTAATTTATATACTGTACAGATGATAGTAAACTCAACTTACCCACCTAAACTCTCCGTAGTGTGTAAGTACAGTAGAGCGTCGTTTATCTGAATCAATTGGGGACTGGGGTTGTTCAGAAAATCGATATTTCGGATAACCGATTATGTACAAAAAAATATATTAACCTATCCCATGTTAAAATTTTTCTCCGTTGCATATCGCTTCGCGTTGAATTTTCGTCGATGTTAAGCCTAATGAAGACTATTGTATCATTAAAAATTATTTTTTTATTTTGTACAAACAAAATAAATATATTGAAAAATATAAAAATAAAAAATTATACTTCAGAAGTTAATTTAGTATCAAAAACGTAAAATATTTGATTAGCCCAAGACACAGCCAAAGATTGCAGTGCCACAGCACTGGCAAAAATTTAAATTTACCGACTGGAATTCTTTCAGATGATTGATTTTTGGATAATCGACACACTACTGTAGTCCATTAATCCTGAACAGGTCTGTTGAAAAGACACCTTAAGATGCAACGTGGCTGGACGTAAGCTCCTTCCAGCATCATAGAAGAAACAGCGAGACGAATGCGATCTTGCCTCACACTTAATGTTAAACAACCTTCTTAACTGAGTTCCATTGACCAAGTCCAAGTTTTGACGTGAAGTTCTAAGCCAAGCTTAAACCGAACCTTAAGTTTCTCGCCTCGACTTCAATCTTTTTATATGGATTGAAGGCAGGATTGATTGACCAACCAGTGCTTCGTAGCTCTGTCGAAGGTCCGCTGTATGTCCACTGATTGGCGGCCAATCAGCAACCACACATTCAAAACAAATGGTCATTTCTCCAACCGAGTTTCTGTGGCATCGACCATTACTCGTTTGAAATAGAGAAAAAGGCGGGAATCGTGTTTCTGTATGATTCTATCCTGACAGATGTCTTCAAGGTTTGGTGGGTGGGCTGGTGCATTATTGAAAATGAGAAGGGCTCATAGCAGTAGATCATTGTCCTCCAGATATTTTTTATAGCAGGACCAAACACCAGATTTATCCAAATTGACAAAGAACTGCCTTGTCACCCACACTTGTGGGTTAGCCCTCCATATGACGTGCAGTTTTTCCTTCAGTATTTTGTGACTTAAAAGCTCTTGGGTTTTCAGAGTGGTATACAAGAAGCAGCTTTATCTTGCCACTTGCATTTGCACACAGTGTAAGAGTTAATTAACCCTTCATCAGTTTGTGGTCTGGCATCATCATCTCATCTACTGTGATGCAAGTCCTCCTCAGCATCTTCTTCCAAAAAAAAATCTAGTTTTGTCACAGTTAAACACTTGCTGGGGACGTATCCTTCAGGTCTATGATCTCTGCAAACATTTTGAGAAAATCTTCAACTGACTTGACGTCTGAACTAGCCGCCTCATCTTGCCTAATGACAGAATGAATGCCAGTCCTTTTTGAACCAGCCATGGCTGGCTTTGAACTCCTCTTCTGCTGAAGAACTTCTTTGTTATCTACAGAAACAAGAGATTTTCCATTTTCTCATGGACTGAAGTGTGTAGCTTCGATATTATTGTTACTCCCTTAGCTGCTATTATACTCATTATAGAGGTTTTCTGTTTCAATATTGTGCATATCATTGATGTAGAATGCTCATACTGTCTCACTAAATCCATTACTCTTATGCCTTCCTCATGTTTTTTTTTATAATTTCTCGCTTTACCTCAAGTGAAATCATACATTTTGGCTTTTAGCCACTGCTCTTTACACTTACTTTCTTTGGACCCATGGTGTCATTAAAGTTCATTTATTAAATATGTATCAATAGTTCTCTTTGTAGTATTTGTGTTTAGTAGGTAAATTATTTTGACCAAATTGAATTTGAATATTTTTGATTCATTCCTTTATTATCCCCGCTCTAAATAAGTACTCTATTTTTCTGAATGAGCCAGACTAATTGATCAAAGTGCATTTTTTCTTTTCTGAACAAGGGGCTGCTGAAGTAGCTAGATCACACACTTTTTAGTTAAACTAACTTTACTGGAAAGGTGGAATTAAAATGTGAAAGCTGTAGAATAAAGATATATAGATGTAGAATTTTATCGCTCCCCTTTTTCCTCTTATTAAATTTTTGTTAAAAATAAATTTTTTTATACAAATAAATATTAATTTAAATTAAAACTCCAAAACCTTTAAACGTCCAGTAGTAATCAATTTAATAATAAACAAACGTTTTCGACCGTACTCTCGGTCTTCATCAGGCTTAAAATCCGTTAGATTCGAACCTGTGCAAGCGTAGAACAATGATTATGAAATTAATTTTGAAAATCAACTTCGAAAAATGGAACCGCACAAACTGATTTTAAAGAATACAGTTATGCATGCGCATTGCCATGGCGACGGAATGGCATACGTAATACATACAATTATATAAATATATATAAATAAATACACCAAACTGGGATGTTGTCTTTAATTGCTGGAGTGGGCGTCGCCCGTTACCTCATAGCAGTATTTCCACGCGTGGGATACATTGACTGCATCATTAGCGTTAATGCAATTGGTGCATAACCCGGCTTTGTAAATTTCCAATGCCTCCAGATTTCGTAGGTGTTCCACTCGATGAGAAAGTTTGATCAGTTTGGCCTCATGTAGGTCAGCTCTTATGCCGGGATCAGTGGCATACGTTGATAGGGCGGTGGTGTGCCTTTTATTAACGATGTCGTATTTGTGTTCCTGCAATCTTTTATTCAAAGAGCGTTTTGTGGACCCAATATAAACTAATTCCCTTTGAAACCTGTTGTCCCATAGAGGGACCATGTAAACCCCTGGTGCTAGCTTCTTATTGATTTTGTCTTTGCCACCGCGGAGTAGCCCATATACAGTGCTAGGCCTCTTGTATGCAATCCTAGTGTTAGTATGGGCGGCAATCTCCCTGTAAACTGAGTTGAGGTGATGATTGTACTCAACTACCGCATGAGACTGTGTGTTATTTACATTGTGTGTTTCGTGGGCCGCTGCTTGTATGTTAGAAGTGTCGCGTGCGGCTATTCGTGATACGTATGCGCGGGCAAGGTCGTGTATCAGGTTCTTTCTATATCCGTGCTGTACTGCTATGTTCTGAATGCGTTTCAACTCCGCTTCTGTGTCTTCAGATCTAGTATGGTGTGTATAAGCCCGCCTTGTTAGGGCACGGAATGCCGAGATCTTATATGAGTATGGGTCCGCCGAGTTGGCTGGGATGAACAATGGCCTGTAGCATGATTTGTAATGTACTTTCGTTGCCACCCTAGTGCCATCAAGTTGTAGGTGGATATCGAGGAAATGCGCCTCCGTATTGCTCTTCTGATCCAATTTGATGGTGAGTCCGTACGGGTTGTCATTCATTGCACTTATGAAATTGTTTATGTTCGGTTCCGCTTTCCATAGAATAAAGATGTCATCTACATACCTTTTGTATATGAGAATGTCAGAGACAAATCGCGGTATGATCCTTCCTCCTTCAAGCTGCCTTATCACCAACTCGCATAAATCCCGAGAGCAGGCTGCCCATAGGTACACCACGCTTTTGTAAGTAAGTATTATTGTTAAAGCGGAAAAAGGAGGTGTAACATAGAATGTGTGCCAGCTCTAAAATGTGTTTATGATGAGCAGTAGCTCCGGGTTCACTAAGAAACTCAAGTGAGTAGATTTTAGATATTAATTTAAGTTAAATATTAAAAATACTAACTATAAAAGTATTTGGGTAAATGCCCAGTGCTCCCTTTAGAATTCAGAATAGGTAACCCCCTATGAGCACCTTTGCCTCCCATAAAATGACATTGTATTTAATTTTGCCAGAGTCAGGAGTCAGAGTCGGCCTACTAAAATTATCAAGAGTCAGAATCGAGTGTTTTTTTACTGACTCTGCAGCCCTGGTGGAAATACTCTTGAAGCTTGATACTTGCTGCACCAACTAGCGGATACTTAACTGAAACTTGCTCATATTTCAAAATTCAGTTTGTATCTCAAAGAAAAGAAAAAAAAAAGCCAAACTCCAGCTTGTATCTCAAAAAACTCTTATATTCTTATGTCAGTACACTCATATATCAAGACATAATTGTATTTTACACTCCTCTTTACAAGATATAACTGGTTTGGAGTTGTAAGGAGTCACTGTTATAATTATAATGCCTTTAAAACGAGGTCAAGTTTGACACTTCTAAAATGCTTAAAATATTTTAAAATAGTGCACATAGAGGAACAGTAATACATTTTTATTTAGAGATATTAATCAGGTTTTCATTTATTAGAAAACAATAGTTTTTAGATTTATTACTTATTTATTGAAATATTTAAAAAATAAAAAAAAGGAGCATTGGCAACACTTCTGCTTCAAAGGATTAAAAATAAATATTGATTATGAATGTAAAATGTAAACATTAAAAATGTGTATGCTTTATTTATGTAACATCAAGTTTGGTTTTGTGTAAATAAACTAAACATATTTCATATTTTCTATTTGCATAAAACTGAAGATAATAAACAAAAAAACCAAATAATTAGTTTTTCTTTTTACTTTATTAATACTGAATATCCTTAGTAGTTAAGGCATATAGCATGATAAAAAAAATATTGAAAAATTTAACTTTTTTTTAGATAACCATGATTATTTTTACTGATTCTCAAACAGGAAAGTCTAATAATCATAATGTGGCTCTTTATATTTTAAAACCTGTAAAAAAAAAGTATATTGAAATGGATTTTTTCATGCATGATGAATGATTACTGCTTGCTAGTATATAAGAGCCATTTTTTCAGAATATTTTTTAGGAAAAAAATTATACAATGTAAAAAAATAAATATCTTACTGTAAATTGATTGAAAACAAATTTTAAGAATTTTTGCATAACATTTATGTATCAAGGAAAAATGTAAGATTACAATAACAGTTTTAATCATTCATCTTCACACACCAGGATGATATACAAATAACACTTACATAAAACCTGGTAACTAGAGGGGTTGTGTACTAGGGTAGCTAACATTTTCGAGGGCCCTTCTGGGCTCTTCTTCAGGCTATCAGCACAATAGCCTGAAGAAGAGCCCAGAAGGGCCCTCGAAAACGTTAGCTACCCTAGTACGCAACCACTCCGATTACCAAGTTTTACGTAAGTGTTATTTGTACAACAGTTTTAATATTTATTCTCTTCTTCGGAATTAGGCAAATTACAGGTAACCCCCGTATAACACGGTACTGTTATAGCACGGATTCACTCTGACACGGTTCGAGAATTGGGTAAAACCCTCGTACAACATGAAATGTAATAAATTTTTACATACTTAAGTAATAATAGTTCACAAAATTTATTATTTTCGTGAACTATTTAAGTATGTAAATTTTCTTTTCTCGCCTTCTGTCGATACACATGGTCCTTCTCGAAACTTATTTCAATGTTGCTAGATCTCGATGCTTCTGCTTCTGATGTTGCCAGATGTTTTCCCCTTATTCCATACTTGCTTTATTCTTCATAAGTGCTTAGCACCATATAAAGAAAATTACAAAGATCTTTTAACTAGAAGCAAGCAATCTAAAATTACACACTTTTTGCAAAAAGTAAAGCATGGATCTGAAGATAATGCAGAAAAATGCTCAGAGGATAAGAATAACTTGCCAAAAAGAAAACGTTCTCGGTTAATAGTGCTTTTAGTGATGACAAAGAAAACATTAATTTATATCAATATGTATCACTTAAGAAAATTTTAATAAAGATATTTATCTTAATTATGAAAATATAATAGCATGTTTTTTTAATTTTTGGAACCTAACCTTCCTTTTCGTACTAGTTCTTTGTTTTGTATAACACGGATTCGCATAACACAGCAAATTTTTGGTACGTAACTACCGTGTTATATGGGGGTTACCTGTATATTCTGCAATCTCTTCTGTATTTGAAATCAGTCATTGCTTACTTTAAACAATAAATCATCTTCAGTACCTGTTAAAAGCATTACTAATATCATATTTCTTAAATTACTTAATCTCTGGTTTTATTGCATTCTATGAGAAGGGCCCATTCACATAATTGAAATTTTAGATTTCTTTCATCTTCCAGTTGCTGTTACTTCAAAATTTGAAGATAACATCAGTTCCACTTCATAAATGCTTTGCAAAGCAAATTAGCAGATACTCTAATGGTTGTATCTGGTTGATTAAACTGCCTGAAATTACAGCAAACTGTTTCTTCAACTAAGTTTATTCTTAATAAACTCAAGTTCTGAGACAACAAACTGATATTGTACTAGCAAATTCGTTTCTTCAACTTTCATCAAGACACCTGAACTTTTTCTGTCTACAATTTCTTTCATTCTTTCATCCAACTAGCCTTTATTGTGGTCATAAATCTAAACTAAAAAGGTGTAATGAGTATTTTCATGGCCATAAGTTTCAATAATAATACTTTTTGCACCTTTGACGTTACTGTTTTGTTTGAAGGCATTTCAAATATCATTTCATAGAGGCACCTCATCTATATTTTCTATCGTGATAGTTCAAAGTTCTATTGTTTCTAGTATTAAATGACATAATTTTGAACTATCAACTTTATTTTGATATTCATCTGGAATATTTTGTGGTATTTTTATTTTCATGCGCATACATAGGTTATTTCTTTTCTTAAACCAATAACACCATGATGTTGAACCAGTATATTCAATGGATACTTCTACATTACAATTTGTTTTGATAGTGAATGATCATTTTTGTAGAAACCAAAATACTAGATTACCTGTTGTCTAATGTCAAGATTTTTAAATCTTGAAACTCTGGCCACTTTAAACTTCCTTTACAGATTTTATTATGTTTAGTCTTTTTTTTAATTTTCTTGTTATCTCTATGTTCATGTCAAATTTTTCTGATATAAACCTAAAATACTGTGCTGCTACTCTATTCCATTTTCTTTGCATATGCAATAACACCAAGTTCAAAAGCAATAATGTAGAAATGTCTATTTTGCTTATGAGTCATGGGTTAATAAAAAAAATTATTCTTAAACATCACTAATTCTACAGCATTTGAAAATTTGTGACTTGTGAGTTTCATAATGACAGTTGACAAGTGAAGGTTCAATAGTCTACCGAGTGCTGTGCACTCAGAATAGATACAGAAAATTCACTTTATTTTCAAAAAGATTTTGTTCTCTTAGGCACCTGTGGACCTGTTCAACTGGGAAAGATGGGGAAATGTTTCCACTGCAGTCTGTGGGAGTTGAACATGGTCTCTCTGGAGTACTGAGTGCACTGTTTACATGAAAACAGGTCCCATCTTACTATAAAGAATGTGTGTGCTGTCTTTAATTAGTTATATAATAAATGTAAAATACAAATACTTGTTTATAAATGAAATATGGTAAGAAAATAAAAAGTAACAAATTCTAATCTGTTCAAATCAAAATTCTATTTAAAGTTTCTTCCTTTATCATAGAAAAGACATACTCTGGTTTTAGACAAATTTAGGAAAAATTCTCTCATACATTGGTAACTATGGTAAACATTTTGCAACTCTAAGTAATGATTTATCATAGTAGAAAATAATTCTCTCATACATTGACAAGAAAATTACTAAAAAAGAACTATAATGATTTGATCATTTAAGAATACTTTGATACTACATATATTAAAATATACATGTTATCAAAATCATTATTCCAATTTTTTTTAAACAGAAAAATTGAAAAATTTTAATAAATCCACTTTGGTCAAATATTAAAACTTCCTTACCTGTATATCAAAAGGTTCTAATCCAGGTACAATCATTTTTACAGTAAATCCAGTATCTTGAATAAAAACATATTCTTGCTCCTTGTTTTCTTCTGAAGTTTTATTTGCACTATTTTCAAATTTTTTATCATCAGTTTTACATTCAGCACTTTTGGAATTAACATTATTACAGTTTGAATCATCAATATCTTCTTCAATAAATCCATTTTTTTTCTGAACTGTACCATTGGTTTCACCATTTAGTTTAATTTCTAATTCACTATCAGAATCACCATTTCTATGAAAAACTCTCTCTTTTAAACAATCAGTTTGTAAATGCACCACAGAAGTAAGTGATTCATTTCCTTCTCTTGTAATTTCTTGATCAGATTTATCAAGCACTGATGGCATTTTATCTGCAATTTTTGAGCACCAAGTAACTAAACAAAAAGAAAAGATTAAAATTTTTAAATTTAATTTTTACATTAAATAATTTCAGAACTATCATAATTCAATGGCACAGTAATGAAAGCAGTCAAAGCCTTAATTCATACTTGAAAGTCAAAATTTAATACTTATTACCATTTTCTTTAATATTTTATATATGCATTTTATCTTCAAAATATAATATTTAAAAAGACAATCAATAAGCATATACATTAGAGCCAATCATACATGACTAATATGTAAGCAAAAAATTGTGTAAACTTGTTAAACTGATAAGAAATATCAGTAATTAATGGGGTTTACTAACATATCTAACAAAAATTTTTTATGATATAAATAACACAAACACTATATTAAAAATAAATAGCATGATTGTAAATTATATAAACTTTTAAAAATTTTTGGAAAAAATCAAAAATTTAAAAATTTTTTCCTCTAAATTGGACATTTTATGCTCTTTGATTACAAGAGCTACCAGTATCAATACCCTTCAATTTTGGATCCACATTTTCAAAGTAATTAACATAAATGAAATTAAGAGCAGCACTAATATCACACTGACACAATGTATTACAAGTGAGAACTCTGGACTACTGATGTGAGTCCCAGTTTGTTGTTGTTGTTAAGTTCCATCAAGTCGTCGTCGACTCCTAGTGACTGCATGGACAAGTCTTTCCTTTGTCCATGTAGTTTTCTTGGCAAGAGTTGAGGAAGTGGTTTGCCATTGCCTTCTTCCTTGAATGATGTGTCACACGCGCGTGGGAAAAGAATGCCTTCTTTTCCTACTGATGTGAGTCCCAGTTTAGTACAAGCAAAAAATGAGTCACTTTCCCAAAACGAAAATGAATGAATCAGATGCAGAGACTTCTTGCACCTTAAAAATTATGCAGGTTTAACATGCAATTAAGAATTTTTATTTTTCATATTTTCCGCATTGCCAATAGTATAAACCACATGTGGCAAGTCCATATATGGCAGATAATACTATGTTATAAATCAATATTTAATGTATATGCTTATTTTAATGGACTCAATAATTATTCCTATTTATTGAATTCTATTATTATGAAATTATGATTTTATGACAATCATCAATACACATGTTCTAAACTTTCTAAACACTATGCCATTGAAACTAAAATTATTAGAACAAAAAAATAGTATTAAAAGATATATTTTTGTTAAAATGTAAATTAAAATGCAACAAAGTGGAAACTGAATTATTTAAATCAGTTTAAAAAGCATCAGAATATGTCACATTGTACAGTACATAGTAGAGTAAATGCAGAAATCAAACTTGCCATGTAACTGGAAATCACTTTCATCTGTCAATTATAGCATTGCAAAACTAGGTCTGTACACATACATGCATGCACAAACACAATATTAGATTTTGAGTAAAATAATTTGCCTTCAAATACAGTAATTGCATTACAGTATTTACTATTCGAGAAAATTTACATGCACAGTGCTTGTTGTACCAAAAACACAAACAGGTTTCTGGATTATAATGAAATTTCATTTAGCTGAAAGACCTTGGATCTCATCAAGTTCAGATAATAAAGTTTTCACTATATTTGGTTAATACTAATGACTTATGCTAATAGTGTCCAAAGTATAGCCAATTAATTAGATCTGNCTAAATAGTTGCCAATACACACACACACAACACAAACAATTTTGTAAGGAGGTTGGTTTTATGTTTTTAGGGCTTCTGAGTGTCAAAACATCAAGAAATGAAAAACAGGAAGTCAAAATTTCACCTCCTCAATCAACCATATTTTCCCTACATTAATTAATTCTGTAATGGAAGGAAATAGTAAAACTAGCATACATAGTATTATTATACATAGTAAGTATGGTATTATATATAAAAAGCTAATTTTTAAAAAGCTAAATTGTCACAAATTGCTCCAAACAGCTACATAAAAACACCCGATTTTAGCACCAAAGCAATGAATTGACAACACTATTTCTTTTTTCTTTTTATTTTCTTCTTTCTACCCTATAGGCACTAAGAGAATCTTTTTATCAAGCAAACCTTATTCAACCCACAATGGATTTGGTCAGGCCAAATAGAACAACCAAATGGCAAGGCCAGGGCCCAATATATCTGGGACAGACTATACTCTGAAAAATTCTTGGAGTTTTTTTGACTTGTTTAGCGCCAAAACACTCCAGGAATTTTGTTTCAGATTTGCCATAGTGGTAGACTAATACTTCTGGCTAGAATCCAGATTATCTGATGTAATGTGGACCAATGCTACCTTGGATAACTAAAAACCTGAATAAGATGAATGGCCATGGCCATTTCAGATTAAAAATTATGAATTTTATATAAAAATGCAATTACACAATTACATGACAAAACTTTTAACAAGGATTGTCAGCTTTTACAATGTAATTATGATAAATGTTATTTCACAGTTAATAATAGAATTGCAATTTATTTAATTATGAATTATTTTTATATATAACAGTTTAAAAAAATAAACAAAACAGGAATGCTAAACTAGTGAATTACATTAAAAACCAGCAATATTTATAAAGTAAATCATGAATTAAAATATTAAATCAGCAAGTAATTTCAATTTAATACCACTGAATAACCACAGTCATCATCAATAATCAAGATTTTAAACCCTACGCCGGAAGAATATAATAATAAACTGTCTACAAACCTATAACCAGCGTGAAATATGTTCAATTGCGTAAGCAATTGAACATATTTCACGCTGTACGCAATTGAACATATTTCACGTAAGCAATTGAACATATTTCATCTTGTGTGTACACATAAGATGAAATATGCTTATTTTGAATGTATAAATGCTCAAAATTCAGTATATGGTATAAAATTTTTAGGACCATTTGTATGTCATAGAATGTATATATTCAAATGGTAGGTAACAGTTTCAAACAGGATTTTGAAAAAGGTGGGGTTCAAAACTAACATTTTTGACAAGATTGTCTTGTTTATAAAATCGTACTGCCACTCGTTCTTATCAGCATAGAGGTATGAAGGAGTACATGTCGAGAGTAGATATTTGGCACAGAGTATTAGGTGCCCAAATCATTTGCACATAAAAAAATCCAGACTCGTAGGTAGTCAGGGGACCGAGAATCGAATCAAAATAAAATCCAAAATGGCGACCCTCTCCTACAAACAGGCAAAACAGCCACCTCACCCCACCGAAGTCAGGTAGGGGAGAGTACCACCAACAGTCATTATAAGAAGTGAACTCTGACCTTAGGACCAAACACACAGTTTCTTCTAGGTTAAATAAAATTTGTAATCTAATTTTGTAAATTTGGGAGTGCTTCAAATATGACATTAAAGCAGTTTTATGTCGTTACAAGTGGGTTTATTTTAACTTAACATAATCTAGTATAGTAAAATCGTAGGACCGATAAAAATTTGACATTATATTAGGATTGTCACTACATTCGATGACATAATTGGGTTAAACTGTATACTGTTTGTGCAAAATAAAAAAATTTCGGACAATACAATAGCCACGATTTTTCAAATACGGGGACTTTTCGTTATGCATCAACAAAAAATTCAACCCTGGCTGACACGCAACAGAGAAATTTTGAAATTAGATACGTTAATTTCATCAAAGATGCATCGTGGACGATCTTGTAGTCGTGGCCAGCAAAGTTTAAACGATTGCGCCCAAAAACCTGCAATATCAAAGAAGATAGGAGAATGAGAACAAGACCTGCCTTGAGCATCAAAGTGATTCCATCTCCGAGACATAGTCTTGTCCCAAATATAGTTTTGCCATTTTACTTGTTTTCTTCATAACTTAGTTCATTAATTTTTAGAATATAGGTATGTAGAGTAATGATACAGTAATAATCTAGTACATTATTAATAGGTTTTAAATAATTTAATGAGTTGCATATTTTGGTCCTATTTTTATTTAATTTTTTCCAAAGTGAGAATTACCCTCTAATTTGGAAAGAATTGCCAAGGGCCTTAGAAGGTATATATGTTTATAATTTTTGGAAGTGACTTAATTTTGTATTTTTGTTCACATGATATAATAATTTATAGTGTGCTTTATGTTTGATGTTGTAACACATAATACTGTTTAAATGATTTAACAATGGATTTATGGTTACACAGCAAATGAACTTAAATAATTTCCTTGAAAAATTTCTCACCCCTATCATTTGATTTGCTTCAACCATTTGAACACAAATTTAGTTCTTGCTTGATAAAGCCTGACATAAAATTATTCATGCCAAGATTATTAAAATATTTTTGAACTTTTCAGTGTGTATATTTATGAAGGATTGTCATGTTTTGTTCTTAGAGTAGATAGATTTCTTATGTTTCTTCATCTATATTTTCAATATTTTTTTTGGACTTTGATTTTACTTATTAAATTTTATAAAATTATATAAAAATCATTCAATTAAAACTCTTTATATTTTAAAAAATTTGTTTTTCGAAATCATTTCTAATTATTACATTAAATATAATATAGTAGCTTAACTGCCTAGCCTTAGTCCAAATTACGCAACATCTTTGATAATATGGCTAATTAATTATAATCAATCAAATTATTTTAAGTAATATGATTAAATTCCTGTTACAGGGGAATATACTTGTTAAAATACTGTAGAACAATTAATGTAACAAGAGTTTTTACTATCAAAAAGTAACCAATATAACTGATATAATTAGACTACACAATAGTATTTTTTACTATATAGAAATGATTTTCTCCAATTTCCAATTTATTCTTTACAACACTTTTTTTAAAAGTTATTTAAGCTATACATTCAAATTCTTGATAAGTTATTCTCTTAGCAATATTATAGTCTATAATAGAATGTTATAATTATTAAAAAACATGGCCAAAGTTATATATAAACTTGTCTAACAAAAAAAGAAGTTTTAAATCATTGTACATTTACCAAATACATTTATGTGACTAAGCCAAATACATGAGATACTGTTTAATTAATTAAACCTTTT